TGGAAATCAAGTCCAGTGGATTGTTTTTTAAACTTTTACGGAATGACTATGACCTGGATGACTGAGAATCTTCATCAGCGTACCAGATAAACCCAACATCTTGAAAAAAATATATTTTGCATGATATGCATTCAAATATTATGGCATATTTAATTATCTTATTAACCATTAGATAAGTAGTGTATGTAGTTTGTGGCATCAAGGTTTTTCCTCGGCCTATTTTGTGTGATAAAATGTTTGTTTGAATAGAAGTAATGATAGAGAAATCCTGTACCATTCACTATGCTGTACTGTTTAGGGGGACCGAAAGCAGGTGCCTCCCCTCCCTACTCTAGATAAGGGTGAGGGGAAGGTCATTAAAAATAATGAGTTCACAAAGCCTCCTTCATGCTATGGTTAAAATGTACGCCCTTATCGTTCTCCAGTCCTGTTTCTGGTGTGAATGGAATACAGTTGTCTGAAATGTTTAACTGAGCAAATTTATGTCCTTTGATGTGTTTGAAGTGTTTCTCTTGGGAAGATTCAATTTTCATGTGTTTGTATGGTGTGGATTCTTTTTAAATGTAGGGGTGTGTTTCTGAATGCTTCAGTATCATACTCAGCTGTATTCAGCTGGTTTGTGCCATTCTCCTCTGCAGAGTAAAATAAAACGTTTTCTTTCTTGCATATCAACTCTCAGTGCTCATTTTTACTACACAAGTTACAATAGCACATTTAATGGTTTATTAATTTCCTACACTTTTTATTTAACATTGTCTTTTTTGGCCCCCAATACAATGATTTGAATGATTAAAAAGGAATTTATTTCAGACAATTTTGACAAACAATAAATCCACCAAATACAAAAAGAGACTGGTTAACACCAAACCAAACTAATTTCAAGCAAACTAAATTCACCTGTACATAAATAGAAACAAAACCCTCCACCAAATAAACCTGTCTGTATATACAGCCAGAGAACGGACATTGAATAATGGAAATTTTCTAAGAGGTACAAAGTAGTAAAACTTTTTTTCATACCTACTCTCACTAATTGCTCTTAAAGTAATGTTCCTCTTAAACTTGTGTTCTTTATCCAATATTCACACACGCACACACAAAAAAATACATATATTCACACAATTATATACATATACACATAAATATATAGATCACTACATATATGTAAATGTACACATGCATACCTACACAAACATCAGGCCAGAATCCACATTAACACCCTTGGACACAGAGCTACCTCAGTGGAGTATTAAGTTTACTATAGATCAAAAAAATAAAATTTGGTCATCAAGCTGTACATCTATACCAAAAATATTAGGAAAATGGTAGATTATTTTTATAGATTTTTTTTTTCCCAGAAAAAGATTATAAGGTTTATTAGCTTTAAATTATATAAATAAGATGATAATTAATGATTAGATATTGAAAATGTATACCTTTAATCATGGAAAAAAAATAATAATTCGTACATGTGTGAAATTACTCTTTCCTTTTCACTATAATGACCCTTATACTCCACTGTAAGTAGCTGGCAGTTGCCTCTAGACATTTTCATAAATGTTTGCTCCATGATTATATTAGAATAGTTCTATCCCTCAGAATGTTAGGAATCCAGTTTGTGTGGGTTGTGTTTTTTGTGTTT